ATATTTAGTTTTGAATTGTTTTAAGATAAATAATAAGTCAATTTAAAAAATGAATCTTTCAAAAGTCAAAAAATTTTCTTTTGCTGTAATTTGAAGTGAACATGCAGTATTCGATTAAAAATCAAGAAAGACTACGATCTAATTTAGAGAAAAGAAAAAGAATTATTTTCTTCTTATTCAAGTAAAAAAGAAAAACTAGTGATTAAAATTTTTTGCTTTTAATTGATTATATTTTTACAGTAAATATTAAATTATTAACCAGAACTAAATGAGTAAGAATTCATGTCAAACAAGTCATATTGTTGACTTTACATATATGAGAAACTATTAGAGAAAATAAATATTTAATTACGGATAAAATTCATTCATAATGAAATAAAATATCAATGTTAGAGCAATATACTTGTCACAGAGGAAATTAAAATTTAGGGCAATGTTAAATTGCTCTAAATTTTAATCATCCCTGTAACATAGTCATTCGTTAATAGATTTTGTTTTTCCAATGAAATCCGTAAGAAAAGTTGAACAAAAAAACACAAATATTTTATAATTAAGAAAAACTTTATATTGAACATAGAAATAAGAGAATGTGAAAAATTCAATTTAATTCCTCATACAATTTTTTCTGGTTTTTGATAATTGTGCAACGTTCTAATCAACGGAACCAGTCATTTTTTTAAACAATTCTTTTACTTGAATGTTCTGACATAATTGAACTTAAATCAAAAATTGATCTTTTATTTTTGATGTCTTCTTGGTCTAACAAAATTCTTCTGATAAAACTAGGTTTTTGTTAGGAAATTGTTGTTGATGAAAACTTTAGACAAAATTATTTCAAACTTCACATATGTTTGGTGTTTTTTTTATATGGAAAATTAACAGAATTGTCTTTCGTTTTTATTAAATATAGAATTTCTTCTCATGACTAGAAGTTTACATTTATACTCATTGCAAACACCTTTGACCAACAAAAATAAAACACTGAAATTCAATTATGAGCTTTAAATTTTCTATCTAATATTCAACATATCTATGTATCTGCAATTTAACAAGGCAAAAATTTCGCAGTCCAAATAAAAAATGTGACTCCGAAAGGCTCTAAATAACGGTAGTTTCATTCTTAAATGGTTCGCTATTATCTACTCATCATTTTACCACGATATATTACCTGTAATTCTACAACTTATAATTGAATCAATATCTGAATAAAATAAATAAGTATGATTCTGAAGCTTTGCTTTAACAAGAAATTTTCCATCTAGTATTTGCTTCTTTTTTTAACCATTGCTGTAACAATCTGTTCGTTGATTCAAAAAGAAAGAACAGATTGCAGCATACGTCAACTAGGACCTAGATGTCAGATGACTAATGACATCTATTCCTTCCGAGCCACTGATTGGGTATAATGTTGTCAAATATTGTTAGATCAGTCACTTGTATTCATATTCTTCACTAATAGTCAGCCGACAGAGCGAAAAAAGTATAGCGTTTTAATCGAATCAATATCAAATGCACTACGCGTGGCGACCTCTTAGAAAATTAAATGGGCCGAGATTTTCTTTAACATTAGAAGATAGAAAAAAAAATTCTCTATCAAACTGTACTTTTACTTTTTTCTGAAAAAGTGATTATAACCGAGAAATAATCGATACAATCTGGCCAATAGAAACAAAGATAGTCTGTAATGGCTTCAGCATGGAATAGTAATACAATACAAAATGACAGCTTCATAGAATGAATTCTCCCGTAATTTTCATCTTATTGCATTTGAGTTTGTCTCGTCGCAATTTCTTTTATATAAATGAAGTATATTTCTGAATACTAATGATCGTCTCAATCGATAAATTTATTTTGAAATCAATTTTACGATCAACAAAAAAATTAACAAATACGATTACAAAAAAAAACGAAAAGAATTATGGCTTGTTTTTATTGCACTTCATTTTTGATCCATAATCTTTTTTAAAACGTGTAGCTGGTCATGGTTTTGATTTAGCTTGTGCTGGAGGTGTTTCTAAAAGGAAATGGAAAATAAACAAGGTGGCACATAAGAAGAAAAAATGATTATTATTAAAGTTGTTGTATAAGGATTTGCCATCCGTTATATTTTAGAAGTTAAATGAAAACATGACGAAGAACATACTATTGAGTGATCGAAAACGTTCTAAAAAGATGAAATTTATCTGTATTAAAAGATACTCTTTTGATTGTGCATGTAGTGTTTCCAATGGAAATTAAAACAAAATGTACACGTACACTATGGATCTGCACACAAATTGTAAGTGTACACTTTGTTGTAGTAGCAAAATATATTAAAATCGATTTTTTTTTCTATCTAGAAAACAAAAATAAAATGATGTTTATTATTTAATGACAAATATAGATTAACACTTGATGAAAAAATAACCAATGAATAGACAGTATTTCATGTTGTAACATGCTGTTTTAAAAATGAGAAAAGTTTTTTTATAACAAACAAAAGAAATATATTAATTGCAATCACAATCACAGAATACTTTTTTATGTCGAGAGATATAAATTTAGACGGAATACAAAATAAAGGAAATTATATTTTATTATTCAACTAGAAAATTATACGTAAGAGATCATAATGTATTGTCGTATACTTATTGTCCTAATGATACTTTCAGAATTTTTCTAATTCTAGTATAGAATCAAAACGTATGTTTTTTCACAAGATGTACACAGTACACTTTACTTTTTTTAGTAAAGTGTAAATCTAGCTG